TGTGTGTGTGTGTGTGTGTGTGTGTGTGTGTGTGTGTGTGTGTGCTTGAGAGAGGGAGAGAGAGAGAGAGAGAGAGAGAGTCAACTTGTGTTTGATCTTCTTTCCCAGACAAGGGGCTTTAACTTCACTCCAGGTGCAGTAAAAGTCAACCTGAGGGCATGTGAGGCATGTATACGGATGAGAAAACAGGCCTAAAGCATGCATGTGCACACAAACATACATGTTTGTTCTTGTATCCTCGCGGGAACATTGCATTGAATGACATTCAAATACAAATAATTTCTATAGCCAAACCCGGACCACTTACCCAAACCAAACCACCCCAGTATGTACCTGACCCTGAACATAACCACACCAGTATGTACCTGACCCTGAACATAACCACACCAGTATGTACCTGACCCTGAACATAACCACACCAGTATGTACCTGACCCTGAACATAACCACCTCAGTATGTACCTGACCCTGAACCTAGCCACCTCAGTATGTACCTGACCCTGAACCTAACCACCTCAGTATGTACCTGACCCTAAACCTAACCACCTCAGTATGTACCTGACCCTGAACCTAACCACCTCAGTATGTACCTGACCCTGAACATAACCACACCAATATGTACCTGACCCTGAACCTAACCACCTCAGTATATACCTGACCCTAAACCTAACCACCTCAGTATGTACGTGACCCTGAACTTAACCACCTCAGTATGTACCTGACCCTGAACCTAACCACCCCAGTATGTACGTGACCCTGCACCAAACCACCCCAGTATGTACCTGACCCTAAACCTAACCACCCCAGTATGTACCTGACCCTAAACCTAACCACCCCAGTATGTACCTGACCCTAAACCTAACCACCCCAGTATGTACCTGACCTTGAACATAACCACACCAGTATGTACCTAACCCTGAACGTAACCACACCAGTATGTACCTAACCCTGAACATAACCACACCAGTATGTACCTGACCCTGAACCTAACCACCCCAGTATGTACCTGACCCTAAACATAACCACCCCAGTATGTACCTGACCCTAAACATAACCACACCAGTATATACCTGACCCTGAACATAACCACACCAGTATGTACCAAACCTTGAACATAACCACACCAGTATGTACCAAACCCTGAACATAACCACACCAGTATGTAACTAACCCTGAACATAATCACACCAGTGTGTACCTGACCCTAAACCTAACCATCTCAGTAGATACCTAACCCTATACCTAAACTAATCTCAATGCATATCTTAGTTCTAAACCTAACCCCTGACCTACCAACGGTATTTTACCCCATGGAAACCAGGCTTTTGTCCCCATAAAGAACAGTGGATTCCTCCCCAGGCTGTGTGTAGTGGGGAAATGGTCGAAAATCATCCACACCAGGTAACAACATGTCCACACACACAGGAAGTTTCCTTTAAGCGGACTGGATAACTTCTGGTTTAAACAGGTTTACCAGTCCAGTGGTGTTCACCGTGGAATGCCTCTGAAGACGCAGTAATGTGCTGTAGGATAAACATTTCTGTTCCTGCCTCCACACGAGGACATCAATCAGTCCCGAACAGAAATACTGAGAGTGAGAAATGAAAAGGTGAAAGGGCCGGCTGGTTCAGTGGGTAGGGTAATGACAATGTGCAGGGCCGCCACTTAGAGGCAGATGGAGTTGGTTTTCTGTGCTGCAGGTCAGGTCCGACTGAGCAGGGAGTAAATTACTTCAACCGTTGCAACAGTGAAAACTTTTTCTTTTGTTAAACAACACACAGATTCTTCACCTAAACTTAACAGAACACCATGGACTTAGCAAGTGAAAGGCTTTTCTTTCTGCCCCTAAACGCAGCACAAACATTATTCCTCTGCTCCTCCTTGCAGGGAATCTGTGTGGTCCGTAATGAGCCCAGCAAACATCTGCTCCTCCCGTATTAGAGACCATTTTCTCCACGTCTCATCCTGTAATATGGAGAAATTAGAGTGCAGGGAGTCATTCCGCGTGTTTATATACACACACACATACACACATTCACAGACATAACATAAGGAGTCCAAGTGTTTTTATACTACTGACGCTCTAACATACCATCTCAGCACCACAATTTTCCATCCACAACAGTAAAACACTACCGGGTGTCTTTGGTCGGTGCTCTCAAGACTTTTTTCCCCCCTCTCCAAGAAAAAAAAAAAGAAGTTGTTTTTCAAAATGAGTTCACTAAGTTAAATACAAAAACCCTTCCGAACATCAATTATTTTTTTTGCCTCAGGAAGTTGAAGTAGAAAACAAAGTATTTTTTGGAAGATGCCTGTCATCATTTGTTTAGAAGTTGCATAATTGTTATTTTAGCTTGGAAAGACTTTTTCCCTTCAAAAGAAACCCCCTAAACACAATTATGTAAGTGCTGAAGGGGGGCAACAATAATAGAGGAACAGTGCCACCTGGTGTTAGAACTGATCAAAACCACACAAAAGTTGTTTTTTTTTCATCCTCCTGCCTCTGATCTAAAAATCAGTTTCCAACCACGTGTCATCTTTTACCCACTTCTTCTTTTCAGGGTCAGGTTTTTTTTGCAGTTTGTCTCAGCTGCTTRCATCAGTTAGGATAAAAGGACTAAGATGGTTGGATAAAAAGCAGAGAAAAACAGAAAATATACAAACAAAAATATTAAAAGGTGAAAACAAATATTGCAGTGAATATATACATATTAGGTATTAAAAGTTTCTTATCTGTCAGAGGTAATTTCATACAGCGTAGTATTAGGGCCACAAAATGAGATTTTTTTATATATATTTTTTTTTAAATTACGAGAACGAAGTCACAATATTACGACATTAAAGTCGTTTAAAATGGTCATAATATTATGAGATTAAAGTCGTAATATTATGAGATTAAAGTTATAATATTACGAGGAAAAAGTCATAATATTGTAGCCTTTACACAAAAAAGCATGCAATCACTGCATTAAAATGAGGAACGTTGAGCAACTTGTCAAGTTGTTCTTTAGTATTTCTATAAATAAATAATCTTTTAGCATACTAGCATCAAATTGTCAGTAGCAGGACTAGGAAATTGTGCAAACGACTATAAACTGAAGCTGTATTGTAATTAATGGATGCGTTGACAGATTTAATCGTCACGTACCTAATTTGGATGAAAGCATATTAATCTAACAGTGATGAGTCATCATTGACTACTTTATAAACACAGACACATGGCTGACAGCAGGTGTGAGGGAAATGAGGAAGGGGAAATTGACACGTCATGATTATGACTTTTCTCGTAATATTACGACTTTAATCTCGTAAAATTATGACTTTAATCTTGTAATATTACTTTCTCGTAATATTATGACTATTTTTGTAAAATTGACTTTAATCTCGTAATATTATGACTTTAACCTACTAATATTATGACTTTATTCTCATATTATGACTTTATTCTCGTAATATCATGACTATTTTTGTAAAATTGACTTTAATCTTGTAAATTACGACTTTCTCGTAATGACTTTATTTTCGTAAAATAACGACTTTAATCCTGTAATATTACGACTTTATTTTTGTAATATTACTTTAATCTTGTAATATTACGACTTTAACCTCGTAATATTGACTTTATTTTCGTAAAATTGACTTTAATCTTGTAATATTGACTTTAATCTTGTAAAATTACATCTTTATTCTCTTAAATTACAACTTTCTCATGACTTTATTTTCATAAAATTACTTTAATCTCGTAAAATTACGACTTTAATCCCGTAATATTTGACTTTATTCTCGTAATGACTTTTTCGTAAAATTGACTTTAATCTTGTAAAATTACGACTTTAATCTCGTAATAGTACGACTTTCACCTCATATTATGACTTTATTCTCATATTGACATTATTTTCGTAATTTTACTTTATTCTCATACCATGACTATTTTCGTAAAATTGACTTTAATCTCGTAAATTACGACTTTCTTGTAATGACTTTATTTTCGTAAAATTACGACTTCAATCCCGTAGTATTATTCTCGTAATATCACTTTAATCTTGTAATATTACGACTTTAACCTCGTATTATGACTATTTTCGTAAAATTGACTTTAACCTTGTAATATTGACTTTAATCTTTTAAAATTACTTTTTTCTCGTAATGACTTTTTCGTAAAATTGACTTTAATCTTGCAAAATTACGACTTTAATACCATATTACGACTTTCTCGTAATATTACTTTATTTTCGTAAAATTATGACTTTAATCCCGTAATATGATTTTATTCTCATAAAATTATGACTTTAATCTCGCAATAAAAAAATCTTGTGCGGCCCTAATACTGTCGTAATTTTAAGACTGTATTAAACTGATCACATAAAAGAGACAAAGTAATCCACGATAATACAGACGTTCTTTATTAGCCTCAGTTTTTCAGCCGTCACACACATTTTCAGCCATTGCCTGTTTTATATATATAAAAAAGTCTTTTCTCATGAGTGAACTCCTGAAGGGGTCTGCCTCACTTTTTCATCTCCTGCTGGACCTCTTCGTAGATCCTCTCCTCCAGCTCGGACGTGTCGTACTCTTTCAGCATGTCGTACTCCAGCCAGGGACGCTCTTGCTTCTTGGCTTTCGCCGTCGCCTTGATCGACTTGCAGAGGTCGAACCGGATGCCCTGGATGTTGAACTTGGACCAGTCCCAGTGTTTGGACCACGGCCTGGGGCGCATTACCACTTTAAGCTGGTAAAGACACAGTTTGGGTGTTTGGATAAAAAAACTACTAACAATTTAACATTTACTGACAGCGGCCCGTATCAAGCAAATCACACTAATGTAAATGTTTACTACAAGTTTTAAAAATAAGACCTTTAATTAACGTAGCTGAGATATTTTGAATGTCTGTCACCTTGTTGACAGGGACATCTCCAGTAGTAGGGATGGGCACCGGCTTCATTTCTGGGTCCACCATGCTGTATTCAGACAGAGCGTCTCTCAGATACATCAGATCATCATCCAGCCTTTTCTCCAGCTTCAGCACTTCAATACTCTGGATGCGAGGACTGTACAGGTCGTAGTTCATCTCAACACCTAGGACACACAGAAGTTCATTTTTCTATGTTGTTTTGACTTCTATTCCTTTCTGCAGCCTAACTCCAGTGACATCAGAAGTAGAGGAAAGCAGTCATTTTAATGAAATGAATGAATCAAATGATGTAATACTGACTCTTATTTTGTTGTTTTGATTCACTGGATGCTGCCGTTTCAGCAGCCATGTTTTAGCAAACGAAGCTCACCTTGATTATTAATGATGTTTCTCAGAATAAAYGTGGCCCCCAGCCCGCTCCCGCCCCTCCGGATACAGATGCCGACAAAGCGGTTTGTTTTCCCGCTAGCATAGAGGTCGGCCATCGTCACGGCAAGGATACTTCCTGAAAAACACTCAAATATTAAAGCCTAATAATAAACAACAATAGTAAATGTAGATCAGTTCTAAAGCTGAGTCATGAAACACAGTTCTGCCACAACTATTAAATCACTAACATTATCATGATTAGTTTGTCAGAATTTGTATCATTTTGTTTTATGCTGCTTCTTGTTGCACTTCTGATGATAATCAGTGAGGTTTTTTTTATTAAAAGTCAAACATATAGTATCCATTAAAAGGTGAAACATATTTTAGTGCAAGCTGTTTTCTACAATCTGAGCAACTTCGTTAAAAAAAATAGCTTGTATTTTAAAGGCTTCCAAGTGGTAAAATCTGATCAGGTCGCTGCAAAAATTTGCAAAACTTCATTTTTTTTCTCAACCGATTTTTAAGAAACTTACTATTTTCTTATTTGATCTTAGCTGCATCAAATAAAATGGGTTTTAATACTATTCTGGAACTTTGTAGTTGTTTTGTCACATACCTTACTTACATATTTGACATAACGAACCCCCTGCAGCTTAACTTTTCTCAAATTGTTTCTGCACATTGTTAGTGGAGTCAAAATGGCAAAAATTAACATATTTGCCAAAAAGCACCTTTACGTCCTTAAGTCAGTGACAAAACTTACACAACAGAAAAAATAAATGAATTATTCRAGCAGAATACAATGATTGATTAATTGTGAGTCTCTCATGTGGTGTGCAAACTAGGGCTGTGTATTGGCAAGAATTTGGCGATATAATACATATGACAGAGGGGTCACGATACGATATATCCCGATATATCGCGATACTGTAAGCAAGGTGATATATTGTGATTTTTTTTTGGGCCAAAAACTCTATTAATTAAAAACCTTTTACTGGGAAAAAAATGAAACCAAAATTCATT